CCAAATTATCTTACGAATACACATGAGAAAAGTATAAAAACCACCGAACCACTCTGCATACTCCATTGCGTTTAATGATGTATGCATGAAAACAAAAACACTACATGTATACCATGTCGTTTGAGTTTTAAAACGGTCAACACAAGACGAAATGACGACATGGCAGACGTAACAAAAAATGTTGGCCCAAGAGTTTCTTACAAGAACCCACTATGGAACGCATGAATTTTGTATAAGGAAACTTGGAAACAAGAGGTCGGTAGACAGTCCAGCGGCGACACTCAAAACTTAACTAGCCTTGTTCACGAAAAGGACGCTGTAATTCAGCGAACTTACAAACTCACGTTACATTTGAATGCGACCTTACATGCATTGTGTGCAGTAAAATGATTTATGTAGACAATGTGAAAGGAGACGCTTTTATTTACTCTCGTTTCAGTCGACGAAAATTTAATATAACACTATTATTGCGGTGTGAGAGCTATAATGCATGGCCTTATCTGAAAACCCAGGTTTAAGAAATGAAAATATTATGCTTAAATTAATTTATAACGTGCGATTGTTTATTTGACGAAATATCAATTTGAAGATAAAATACTTGGAACTTTAAAATAACGTAACGGAAAAATTTTGTTGTTGAAATTATTATTGATTCTCTTCTAACAATGCTCCAACACAATTTTTTTAGTTTCGCATTTTCAAAATTCAACATTGGAAGAAATGTACATACAGTCTGTACATTTGAATGTTACATAAAGCAATAAAGCCGCGCACATAACAATCCATCATGGCGCCAACTGTCAAAGGTACGTTGACCCCGAAGTTGATCGTTCGGAGTTTCGTTTTCACAGTTTAATGGGTGCGTTCACATGACCATTGTTTGTATAATCCGAGTGGCATGTTTCAATAGGAAGTGGCTGCCCGTTTCAAATGTTGCAAGCGTTATGGGCAATATACGGCCTATGGCGTTAGTGACCATGGAGAATTGCGATTTCCCTACCGACGGGCCCTATGCCTTATTGCGGGGCTTTATTTAGAGTTTTGTTATCATAAAATCGCTGCATTATGTTCATTCGATTAAGCTCACTCGGATATACGAACAAATTCAATTTGTTTAGTACAAAGGAAAACCTTTGTACTTACTATACAAACGACTAGAATTAATAAAAACATTATCCAAACACAACTACTGACCGTCAACTTTATATACTGATACAGTCACTCAAAAACGTTTTAATTAAGTTATAACATTCCGCCAAAGCTTTCCATGATATTTAAGAAAAACTTTTTTTGCTAATTTTCTTTTGGGAAATCATGTCCGAAACAATTTAACTAGTAATCCGCTGGACGATTTGTATCGAAACGAAAATGTCTACAAATCTATAACAAAGGTCATGATGACAAAAAGAGTAAATAAACATGCTTTAAGGGAAGTAGTCAAGGCAACTTTAATTGCAGACGAATATTATTCTGCTGAACATTGAGCGAAGCCTCTATGGAAACAGTTCCTACAGTGAACTTGCGTGTCTCGTGGCTGTTACTGATACTGTGATTAAAAAAACCAGCCAAGTGCGAGTTGGTTACGCGCACGAAGGGTTCCGTACCATTATCAACACACAAAAACAGAAATACCTACCTAATCACCTGTGGACATTTCAACTGTATAACTACCACGGTTCATGAGATGCCCGGTGACAGACGGACAGACAGACAGACAGCGGAGTCTTAGTAATAGTGTCCCGTTATATCCTTTGGGTATGGAACCCTAAACAATATATTTATAACAAAAATACGGTATTGGCGCCAAATTTTCCCAGGTTTTCCACATACACGTAAGTTCGAGAGCCAACAGTAAGTCCAGGCGTTCGCACGCATTAATAACCATTTTTTTACTAACGAAAAACAAAACCGACTTCAAATATCTCGCTCTGTATTCATTTTATAATTGATTTTCAGGAGTTCCCTTAGTATCTCCGGAGCCCAAGATCCAATACCAATGAAATTAATATGGGACCACATGGGAAGCACCAGCTTTCAAATAAAAAAAGAATCATCAAAATCGGTTCACTAACCCTAATATGAGGTAACAAACATAAAAAAAATACAGTCCTCCTCCTTTTGAAGTCGGTTTAAAAAACGCATACATCGAATGGAAGCGTATCGAGTCTGACTTCGATTGAAACAAAAAAGAACTCTGCGGGTCTGTCAGTGCCACGGACTCAATTAGGGACTTCCCCGGTCGTTTCGCGGGCCGTCCTCGCCGTTAGGAGCGGGTGTAGGCCCGAAAGCCCGCAGGCGAGCCGCCTAATGAGAATTATCCAACGAGCGCTGCGCAAAAACCTTTCCCTAATAAAACAAAAGCAGATAATTATACAAATGCTAACCGTGCCCTGCTCGAACACGGCGCCTTTCATCCGCACCTTCCCTTTAGAATTGCACCGTTATTAATTAAATATACGTACGTGTATGTCCACAGTCCGCGCGTCTATAAACCAGGGGGGATAGATGTAGATTCGCATCGATTTTCTCCCTTCGCCCTGCTTTCAACGGCTATCCGCGAATCGTAGAGCGGATAAAGATCGTAACTTCGATTATGGTATACGAATAAATAGAGTAGAAGCTCATTTTAATTGGGTAGACATCGATTGTAACGGATTAAGTCGAAGATCGAAATGGTACCGGGTTCCATCGCGGTTGTCGACTTTAACAGCCTGGTAGTGAGGTTTGCACGGTTCAGGCTCGTATTACGTCGACGCGTGTTTTATTATTTCTCCTGTTTGTTTTTACGTCTTTGGAATATGCCGCGATGGAATGCGGGAATGAGGAAATTTTCTCGATTGTAAGACTTAGAACATATGTAATATATATCCCACTGCTTGGCAAACGTCTCCTCCGTATAGAGGGTGTTAGGGCATAGTCCACCGCTCGGCCCCACTGCGGATTGGCCGACTTCACATATCTTCGAAATATTTTTTTTTTGTTATTATTTCAAAAAAAAAAATATGCAGGTTACCTCACGATGTTCTCCACCGTTGAGCACGTGATAACTCAGCGCATAAAATTAACAATTTCATTGGTGCCGGCACCGGGGATCGAAGTCAGGTTGCTCGAGTGTATTGAATTGAAGGCGAGCACCGGACACTGAGCTATCACGGCTAAGCGATTTACGTATTACACACCAATTACGGTTGACCGCGGTCGAAAACTAGCCACTGACAAAACCTTCGCATATTCATTCACGTAAACGACTTCTAAATGGATTAAGCGTCAGGGGTGACCTTAATTCGATGCAAATTCGCAACATTAATATGAATGGAAGCCATCACCTAATTTTTAATGTTAAAAGATATTAAAGAAGAGACACTTAATAGGAATTTGTGTGTGAAATAAATTGGTACGAGTAATTAGTTACTGTTAAACTCTACATTACATTTCACGTTATAAATGAATCAGAGGTTTTCCTTCACAATAACATAAGAATGAGGTGTGAAATAAATGAAACATTTTGTCTCTATATTTCGCTCTCGGGAGGTTAATTTCTGTTTAAATATTTAGACTTTTCTTTCTTAAACATTTAGAATTATAAAATAAATAAATAAATATTTCAGGATATATTTTACACCACGTTATCTAGTCCCAAACTAATTAAACCTTGTACTACGGATACTAGGTAAGTGATAAACATACTTAAACATACTTTTCTTTTGTAAATAAATAAATAGTATAGAAATATAAATACCCAGACAATAAATAAACACTATGTTAATCACAAAATATTTTTGCAGTAGAGGGGATCGAACTCACACTCTATGGCGCAGGTGACAGGTCAACTATCCGTTACACCAATCGAGTCGTCATTAAAGAAAGAATTATAACTTTTTATTACTACTTAATTGACTCCTTCGGAGAAAGTAATGAAAGGGTTGCCTGGAATAGAACTCCCAGCTTTTCTTAATTTCCGTCTTTGCAGATTTATCTCAACTATTCCACATTACGCCAGACTAGATTTGATAGACCAGTTCATTTTCATAATTTTATCCTCGGCCCTTTGTTCACGAAGGTCGAGAGAGAGAATGAGTTTTTATTGTCTTCTGTATTCATGTACCTCACTTGTAGTTGCCTTATTATGTATAAATGAAATCGTACGAATGACTAATTCATTCGTTGGTGACATTATCAGGCATTGTAAATGGATTAGTCCCCTTCTTTAAATAAAGATGGGCATCGTGCGAAACAATTTCACAGGGTCGCGGTCCCAGATACAATTTGATTAGGCTGCCACGAATAGAAAACTCTATTTTATCGCGCGATTCGATCGATAGTTACCCTGGAATACTAAAGAGGCGCTTGGTTCTAGTTTCTAGGACTGTTTCGAATGTTTCTTATATTAATGTGGTAGGGCCACCTAGCAGCTTCAGCTGTTAAAGCTTAAGACTGGCAGGAAGTTGAATTATTAGACTTTTGCATTTCAAGTGGTGAGTGAGGTAACTGTCCATGTTTTTTAAACTGACATTTAAATTTCATCTTGTGTGTAGATTGAGTGAGAGCACAAAAAATAAATATAAATTTCAATAACATAGGCAACACCTCTAGATCAAATGTTCATTGTAAAACGTTATTTGAGAGTTTTAGCTTAGCTACAGTATGTAAAGTGCCAACAAATGGGAAATTTGCCGCCGCCGCCTTTGTACATTTGCAATTCCGTTAGGGTTTCAGATGCGTTGCCACCTTTAAATAAAGTGGGCCCCGAATACCTCACTCACAAGACGGAACGTAGAAGCATAACGCTTCCGCGCCGGTCTTCTGTGAGCCCGTGGTACTTACCCGGACGGACTAGCCTATTCGTGCAACAGTTAACACTGCTGCGTGGTCCTTTGCTAAGCATGCAAGAAAAACTAAAGGGATGTTCAGGTTACTCGCTGAAGACATAGGTTCGAATCCTAGCTCCTAAAATTCTCGACGACTCATCTATTAAACTCTGATGTGATGTATTTACTCACCTGGAATTGTCCAAGTTGTTGTGATCCGGCGGCGGTGTGCCGCTGGTGCTGGAAGTGGACTTGGCGCTGAGGTCCAGGGGCTGTTCCGCGAGGGTCGGCGATGAGCTTGCCGCCGGCGGCTTGTCGCACGCCTCGCCCAGCCTGTCACGGACAAGACTACCATATTGAATATCCCTCCATCTTTGTTTTTTTATGTTAATGTTTAAAGTAGGCAAACGAGGAAGTGGTTCACATGATGTTACGTCATTACCACTCCTGGACACCTACAACGACTAGAGATGGCTAATGCATTACATACAGCAAACATTTGGGCAAAAGTTTTCTCACTCATCAGACGAAACACGACAGAAAAATACTTCCACTTCAGGGCGGTCTTCTGGGAGGTGATGGTACTTGCCCTGACGAGCCTGCCCATTCGTGCAACAGCCAAAGCTACGTGACCCTACCACAGATATCAAATAGCGTTTTCACTGTATTCTACGGCTCATATAAATTGCTGCTTTAAAATAGTATCGGACACGGAACTAGAAATTTCAATAGCACAACATATTGACACCTGAACCGCATATACATGAATGTTGCAGTAACTGATTTTCAAATATTTAAAATTCCCTTCAGTGTCTTTTGCAGATCGGACTCCACTTGGGAATCTTTAGCGGGTTTCAAATTTGATATTAGCATCAAAATCAGCGCCTAACTGAGCACTCAACCGTGGTAGGACCACGCAACAATGCAATTCGTGCAATTTTCAGTGTTGCACGAATGGGCGGGCTCTTCAGGGCAAGTGCCATAACTTCACATAAAACCGGCGTGAGATGGAAGATACTTCTGCGTTTCATCTGGTCTTTCTCTTTATTAAAAGGTCGCAAAGCATTTGTAATCCTACATTGGGTGTTGCAAATGTCCATTGGCATGGTTGTTACTTAACTTCGGGTTAATTGCCAGTTGGCTTGCCACCTTCATATCATTAAAATATACAATAAATATTTCAATCATTTTACTTGTTTTTTACGCGTGCTTGTTAATTTCGCGTCTTGTGCATTATTCGTATATTGAACAATATAAACGTCTAGAAATTTCTATGTAAACACACGAAATCGATCTAGAACAGAATGTGCAAATATTTTCGGGTCGACCTTTTCGACATTGGAGTCTTTGTGCAATGGCTGAAGAATTGTTGTTTAGCTACGATATTTACTTAGTTGTGTTTTGTTTCATACATAATTATGGATATGTAATCATTGTTACTGATATGAATGGGGTTTATAATTTAAAAAACAACCGGCCAAGTGTGAGTCGGACTTTCGGGTTCGGCGCCATTATCTATTAAAAAGAATAAAAAAATCATGTATGTTGTATGGGAGCCTCACTTGAAGATTTTTTACTCTGTTTTTAGTTATCACTACATAGTATAAAACAAAGTCGTCCCGCTGTCTGTCTGTCCCTATGTATGCTTAGATCTTTAAAACTACGCAACGGATCTTGATGCGGTTTTTTTACTAGATAGAGTGATTCGAGAGGAAGGTTTATATGAGGTTTATACATTGCACCCATGCGAAGCCGGGGCGGGTCGCTAGTTAATAAATACATTCGTTGTTATGGCGGCAACAGAAATACATCATCTGTGGTAATTCCAACTGTATAACTATCACGGTTCATGAACCGTATCTCATGAGATACAGCCTGGTGACTGACTGAGAGAAAGACAGATAGACAGAGGAGTCTTAGTAATAGGGTCCCGTTTTACCCTTTGTGTACAACAGGACCTTTTACCCATGAACGCACGTAAGACAATGAACAAGACGTGAATACAAAAGAAAATGTCTAAAAATTTGATCCCTTGTGCCAGTACTCTTTGTTTGTGAAAAAGACATTAAATGCAATTGATAACGGTTATAAATTGGACTTATAGGAAAATGTCAAAAAGTTGTCATTAGTTGTTGTTGTAGTGATATAGTTGCAATACCGTAAAGTTAGTCCCTCTGCAAGCAATTTCATTATGTCGCTCTTTGGCTGTCGGTGGGAGCACGCTTCGACTATTACTTGTTGCTACTAAGTCAAAATATATGATCCATTCACTAACCAACAAAATTTACTTTAATATACATTCCAATTTATTATGGAGCCGCAGTACGTTCTCTACAAGACCATAATATGTGAACGGAATATGTTCGATGATTAAAATGAATTGAAAAGTTAATATCGAAAAATCTCTTGTTTATACAACGAGAGACTTTTCCAAACTTTATCCCCGAAGCTCAAATCCGCTAAATAATATTTACGAAGCGTGAATTCGACCCTGTAATATTTTCTTTTATTACCTACATATTTACTTGTAATTTACGTTTTACAGATTTGTTTCTCGGCTTTGTTTTCAAACGCGACCCTGTCTTTGCAAGATATTTTTTTTATTTTTTAAAGTATTAAAATTTGTAGGAAAAAGTACGAAAAGTTTTTCGCCGCCGTGGGAATCGAGCCCAGGTCTTCAGGATTCGCGCTCTGACGCTTTAACCACTAAGCTAAACGGTAATTTTTTTTTAAAACATTGCCATTACTTTAGGATGATATTATCCTGTGTTGTAGTGACGTTTTACAAACATAAATTTTACACAGACAAACACCCAGATGCGAAACAACTATCTGTGGGTCACGCAAATAGTTATCCCGTGTGGGAATCGAACCCACGACCCCTGACACCGAAGCCAATACTTTGGCAACTGCGCCACGGAGTCATCGGAACATTCATACCACCTAACGGTACCACCTACATACGGATAAAATTAAAGTATTAACATGCCGCGGCCTAACAAACATCTCCCAGTCCTAATTACGAAAACGAAAACGGCGTTACGGCACTTCTATAATATGTTTAGAGCACTTAGAAATTTCATTTACGGAGTTCGAAATCTTTTCTGAATGTTTTAGAATATATGTACGTATGTACCACTGTTGTGCAAATGCCCCCTACATGTATAGAGGATATTAAGGTATCGTCCGATCTTGCTGCGATGTGAAATGCGGATAGTATTGATTTATTTTAATATTATTATGTCAAAAAGATGCAGGTTTCCTCACGAGGTTTCCCTTCAAGGCTGGGAATAAAGAAGAATAAAACTGCAATTAACAATGTGACTTGTGGCAACACCGGGATTTGAAGTCGAGTTGCTCCAGTATTAAATTAAAAGCGAGAGTCATTTTTAGGGTTCCGCACCCAAAAGGTAAAACGGGACCCTATTACTAAGACTCCGCTGTCTGTTTGTCTTTCTGTCCGTCTGCCACCCGGCTGTATTCAAGAACCGTGATAATTAGACAGTTGAATTTTTCACAGATTTCTGTTGCCGCTATTGCAACAAATACTAAAATACAATAAAAACATATTTAAGCGGGGCTCCCATACAACAGACATGATTTTTTTTGCCGTTTTTGCCGGTGTTTAATATTTTCAATTGTTTGCTGCGGTGAAATAACAATAATCTCTTTTGCTTTCGAAGCAGAAGTTCGTCGAAGCAATGCATTACTAAGTTTTGAACGGCGAGGCATTAAGTGTTAATACCCGAATATTTATTTATTCCCAAGTCCGGACCTGCGGCGCTGGGACTCGGTTATTGGTGCACTCGATCCGCGAACAATATGGACAGACGCCGGCACAATCTGCGTCTCCCCACAATGTCTTCGGCTCCTTTCCGTCCGTCTCAAGCGCTCCGATAGCTGAATGGGGAAGCCCCGTCGAACCGACGAACAGACGCCGCGATACGAAACGATACGCGAACGTCAAATACATTGCGTTTAAAACTGGCTACATATCGACGGCTACTTTATCGACGGCATTACTAATTACGTCGATTAAAATATTTAAATGCTATCGTTAAAACCGGAGTAACCTATAATATAATATTTAATTTTTTATGTAAAATTTGACGATTCATAACAACGTGCAAGCGTCTAATTGAATAAAGATACTTGATTGTCGAATAAAGCTAAGTATTTAACGGATTTTATCGCATTTGATTGATTGATTTTGTATGGATAGTCCCGTGGGCACGCTGCCAAGTTGTGAACAAAAAATTATGTAACATAATTAAACGGATACAAGGACGTGAAAATATTCTTTTCACGTTTATATGTGTGAAGTTGTAATATAATGCATTCGGTTGTACTGTTTGTTACTGGCTGGTTAGTACGATTAAATTTAGGACATTAAAAAAAATAAAAAACAATTCCGCGCCCTATTTTCGATTGTTTTTCAGTCGCCAAAAATGAGTAAATCTAACGAAGAAAGGGGATAAATTTGTAGTCTGCCCATTGATGAAACAGAAAAGACTGGTGCTTAGATCCACTAAAATAAAAAAAACTAAAACTTATTATTGAATAAATTCTCTATTATACTTAAAGATCGAAGGCTGTGTCAATCCGTGTCTATAATAACAGCAATAAAATTACCCCAAAGTAAGGAGACGAACTTTTTAAGATTGTTCGAACGAAATGTCGATTGATTTTCGTATATTCGCATTTTCTTATTATCCCCTCAACTTCGTCCGGCCTACATAGCTCCATTCGCGTTTGTATACGAAACGCGGCTCAATAGCGGGTGGCCGCGACAATTCTGACAGGCTCGGCGGCGCACAAAAGGCGCGTGACGGCATTGTCACCTGTCCCGCTGCTAGCGTGGAAATATTCTACATGTTTGACGGCGTAGTGCAGTAAACCTAGTTATTTACGACTGGTGATTTTACGAGTCCTGAATAGATACGTAAACAGGGATAAATGTTCGACAAAGGTAGTTGTGAATTGTGATGTAGTTTCTAGTTTATCGATTTGTTATAGAAAGTCACTGGTTCTGAGTTGGACTTTTTTTTTAAATTATGTTAACAGTAACGCTCTCAGGATCCCAGTTGATGTTTTGTAAGGTTTTTCTGTGTATATAGCAAAAGAACGATTTATTTTTAATGTGCTCGCATACGTGAAGACATGATTTGGAACAAAACAATGATAGCATGTTTGCCGGCGACGAAAAACTTTTCAACTTACTTCTGAGCGAATTGCATCTATTTAGATTGAGGAAAATAAATAAAATAAACTGGTATCGGATACGTATATTAAAGGTTCTACACATCATTAGGAGCCGTGATAGCTCATTGTCC